TAACAGTTCAGGGACCTTGCAGGCTGGAGCATCTGTATTTCATTATATCTTCTAACTGGAACCTTGACTAGAGGCTAAGTGTCCATTTGTTCTATAGGATGGCACGGCCAGGTTTGTAGTGTACTTTATAGTATTGGGAAAACTCCTCACCCCTACTTAGTGAGTTATGAAAAGCTTTAAGGTTAGCCCTCACCCTCCACTCAGCCTGACACCTGTGGTCACTGGTGTCGCGGTTAAGCATCTCTGGAGGTTGTGTCCAGGCTCAGTGCCTTTACTGCACCTGTGTGCTAATTAGTGTGCACTCAGAGATGATCCTCGAGGCTGTAACCCGGGAACGCTGCTCACTGTCGGAACTGAAGGCTGCCTTGCACTTGAAGGTCAGCGGCTGGCTTGGGATCTATGCATTTCTTACCCTGAGTCTTGTGCTCTTCGGACACAGGGTGACAGCCCCACCACCACAGGCGAGTGCTGAGGTCTGACAATACTCTGCTGCTGGTGGGATTCCTCCAAACACGGGAGGCAAAGCATAATGTTTGAGGTGCACCGAGAAGACTTAAGTAGGAAGTTGGCAAGGAGAGCAAAGATGAGATGGCAGTTTCCTTTAAGCTACCTTGAGGAAGCCCCAGAACTAGGAAAGATTCTGCAAAACATGGCCTTAGGTTCAAAAAAACAGAAAACAAAAAAAGCCTACCTTCCAATATGTAAGTTGCATCTTGATTCAACTAAGTTTTACTCTGGAAATTTGGGGTGACACATAAGATGGTGTCTCCTGGTGTTAAGTGTACTATTATTAGTAGATATTTTAAATTAATATTAATTAATTTTAATAGTAATATTAATGCTGCCTATTCTGTCCTCCTCTCAGATGTTTTGGTGTTATAATAAACCAAGGCACATTAAAATATACTATACCAATTTTTATACAAATAATAAGAAATTAATTTGCTTATGTAACATTTTATTCCATGATGTATAAAAATGATTTTTAATCAGAGAAATTTTTTTCTTGAGAGAAATTACTAGTTCTAAAAATAGAATTGTGCCTTTTATGAATTTTAGTGACATTATTCATATTGCTCCTTAATATCTTCCCCAAAGTAGATAGATGATTGGTAGTCTTTATATTTAGTAGTGTTTGATAAGTAATGGGTCAAAAGGGGTCATTAATAGACACTGAGAAAAGAGCCAATTTTTTTTTTTAAGATTTGTTTATTTGAGAGGTAGAGTTACAGACAGTGAAAGGGAGAGACAGAGAGAAAGGTCTTCCTTCCGCTGGTTTACTCCCCAGTTGGCCACAATGGCCGGAGCTGCACCTATCCAAAGCCAGGAGCCAGGAGCTTCTTCTCTGTCTCCCACGTGGGTGCAGGGGTAGGGACCCAAGGACTTGGGCCATCTTCTACTGCTTTCCCAGGCCATAACAGTGAGCTGTATTAGAAATGGAGCAGCTGGGTCTTGAACCGGTACCCATATGGGATGCCGGCACTTCAGGCCAGGGCGTTAACCTGCTGCGCCACAGCGCCGGCCCCAAGAGAGCCAATTCTTATAGTTTACCTTCCCTCAGTTTTTTTGGGGGGAACACAGAGAAAGACAGAGAAAGCTCCCATTCACTGTTTCTCTCCTCAGATGCCCACAACTGCTGGGCCTGGGTTTGGAGCTAGAGCCAGGCTGGAAGCAGAGAGCTCAATCCGGGCCTCCCACACAGATGGCAGGAACCCCCTGACTTGAACATCACACTGGCTTCCAGGATCTGCATTAGCAGGAAGCTGGTATCAGGAGCTAGAGCAAGGCATCGAACCCAGGCACTCCCATAAGGGATGCAGGCGTCTTAGACTGTTAGGCCAAAAAGCTGCCCCACCTTCTCTCAATTGATGCTTTTAAAACTGTGAAACTTTGTACCCTCAGATACCAGTCAAATGATATCTTCTATTATTCCCTAAACAGGTGAATCAGTAAATACTATACGTTTAACATCTATTATTCCCTAAACAGATGAGTTAGTAACATTATACGTTTAATAGACATTCAGTGTGGCAGAGTGCAGGAACTGAGTTGATTAGTGTACTGCCATGCAGTCAGCACTGAGATATAGCAACAATAAATAGTGGTGTCTGATACCTGGAAGGGTAAACATGATTCGTGTAAGTGCTTATCATTGACCAATCACTAGATCACACTCGAAATGCTTGTTGTGGATCCAGTCACTAGATCGGAGGTGAGGAACCTTTTCTCTGCCAAGGGCCTCTTGGATATTTGTGACATCATTGTCAGGCCATAGAAAATTATCAACATAAAAATAGTCTGCTACAGATTTATTGAATTTTGAATCCTGACTGTGGTTGCCTTGACAGGGCTAGACCAAATGATTTCTCAGGTCTTAGAGATTTATTTATTTATTTTGAAAGTCAGTTACGGAAAGAGAGGGAGAGGGAGAGGGAAAGGGAGAGGAGGGAGGGAGGGAGGGAGGGGCAGAGAGAGATAGAGAGAGAATCTTCCATCCATTTGTTGACTCTCCAGATGGCTGCACTAGCCAGCACAAGGCCAGCCCAAAGCCCGGAGCCAGTAGTTTCATCTAGGTCTCCCATGTGGGATTCAGTGTCCCAAACACTTGGGTCTCTTCCTCTGATTTTCCGAGACCATTAGCAGGGAGCTGGATCAGAAGTAGAACAGCCAGGACTCAAACCAGCGTCTATGCAAGATGCCAGCATTGTAGGGAGCAGCTTTACCCACTATGCTACAATGCAGATGCCTCTCAGGTCTTATACAGCCCCACCCCTGTACCATATCATGGATTTTTGGGCTATTCCAATGATTCCTTTGTGCCTCAAGCTGGTTCCTGAGAACGCGGAGGACACCGCGCAAGTAGACCACGTTGGGATCGGCCTGATGTGCAGAGCTCCACAGTGCCACGTTCCTGGTAGATGTCCAGACCGAGCCTGACTTGGGCCAGAATTTTGTTCATGGACCAGGGATGTAACCTGGTCATCTGAGGATAGGTACTGATATTTTTCATGGAGTTTCTTCCTAGACATGGCTGAGTTTTCTTTTTTATATATTCTAGAAATTACAGAAAGATTTTCATTCTTGTACTGGAACATAGTAAAGTTTAAAAATCAATCGTAATTGTAAGTGTACAGAAATAGTGTAAAGGTAGTTGTGGGATTCCCTAACAATAGTTGACTGGGGAGAGAGGAGGTGAATCCCAAGAAAATGCGGTGGATAGAATGGAGACTGGAAATTGAGCTGATAGAGGACTAGTACAGTTGCATCTATAAATGTCCTTGGGTTTGGTATCACATCTTATGCATAAAGAAATTATAATTGTTTTATATATACATTTAACAAAGACCATTTGTCCTTTTCTTTCCCTGTCCTGGTTTATAGGTGCTACTTTTACAGACTGGTTTACTTCTTATGTCAACAATGTTGTATCAGGTGGCTTCCCTATCATCAGAGACCAAATTTTCAGGTATTTCATTGTTTTCAATTGAAATGATTGTATATGTCTCTGTTTCTCTCTCTCTCTCTCTCTCTCTCTCTCTCTCTCTCTCTCAGCCCTGCATGCACAGTCACAGATCATGAAATGAAATTTCCCAAGAAGGTTAATATCAGAACCACTCAGTATCTTAGATGTTATTCTCTTATTTTCCCTTGAGCCAAAACATCTAAACACTTAAATAGCCAGTACTTTTCTTATCTTGAAAAATAAAGAGAAAAACCCAATTTTGATTTAGATGCTATAGCTTTATAATAGCCATTTAGTTTCTTTTTGAAAAAAAAAAAAAAGAAAAAGCCATTTGCCAATTAATAGATTTATTATGAATAGCAAAACAGTAACCATTAACTCCTGGCAAATACTATATTATCTCTAAATGGAACACTCAGGTATTATAGATAATTTTATCATCAGAACTATCCTTTAGCAGGTGTAACTGGGTTTTCAGATGTCCCAAAAGTGTTCATATCTCTGAAAACTGAGATAAGTCCTTTGTAGATTCTAAATTGATTACTGATTCATTATTTAAAGCATTTTTAATTGAACCTTGATTGCTGTCACTACTGAACTAGAGTTGCAGACATTTTCTAGTTTGCCTCTAGTTTTCTTTTAAGTTTAGTATCATTATACCCAAATGTTTTAATTTTGGACTTCCAGATATGATTTAAACTTTGATCCTGGGTCAGGCATTGTGTCTTAGCAGGCAAAGGTGCTACCTGTGACATTGGTGTCCCATATGGGTGCCAATTTATGTCCCAGCTGTTCCAACTTCCAATCAAGCCCCCTGCTAACGGCCTGAGAAAAGCAACAGAAGATGAGCCCCAGTCCTTGGGCCCCTGCACCCACGTAGGAGACCTGGATAAAGCTCCTGCACCTGGCTCCTGGTTTCAGCCTGGCCCAGCCCTGGCCATCTGAGGCCATTTTGGGAGTGAACCAACAAATGGAAGATCTTTTTCTGTCTTTCCCTCTCTGTAACTCTGACTTTCAAATAAATAAATGAGATAAAATTTTGATCCTAAAATAAAGTTGTTTTGCCTTTATTCTTAAACCTTTGTTTTGTCTAATTGTGGTAGATTTTCAAATGTTTATTTTTTTGATTGCTTAGATATATTCATGATCCAGAATGCGTAGCAACAACTGGGGATATTACGGTTTCAGTTTCCACGTCGTTCCTGCCAGAACTTAGCTCTGTGCATCCACCTCACTATTTCTTCACATACCGAATCAGGTGAGAATTTAAAATTTTTAATTTTAATTTAAATATTAAAGGGGATCGCTTTTCAGTTGCTAGTGGGATATGTTCTGTAGATGGTTTTTTTATTTTTTTTATTTTTTATTTTTTGACAGAGTGGACAGTGAGAGAGAGAGAGACAGAGAGAAAGGTCTTCCTTTGCCGTTGGTTCACCCTCCAATGGCCACCGCGGCCGGCATGCTGCGGCTGGTGCACCGCGCTGATCCGAAGCCAGGAGCCAGGTGCTTCTCCTGGTCTCCCATGGGGTGCAGGGCCCAAGTACTTGGGCCATCCTCCACTGCACTCCCTGGCCACAGCAGAGAGCTGGGCTGGAAGAGGGGCAACCGGGACAGAATCCGGCGCCCCGACCGGGACTAGAACCCGGTGTGCCGGCGCCGCAAGGCAGAGGATTAGCCTAGTGAGCCACGGTGCCGGCCTGTAGATGTTTTAATGTTGCCCCGTTTGACGTGATACATGGAGTGCATTTTGAAAGACAGCATCTTGCTGAAGTTTGGAGGAAGATAGATACATTTCCTATAATAAATTGTTCATAAAGGACCTTGACTTTACATTAGCCTCTAAGTTATTTAAAGTATTTCTTGCAGTACCTGGTATATTGTGCCAGGTACTATGAGAATAGAAGTGCACTGTTGTCATCATTGTTAAAGCTCTATGTTAGAGCTGTCATTTATCCTAGAAGCTATCAAATTGCCAGAGATAAACTACACATTTTAAATTTCATCTTGCCAGTCCATATCCAGTAAGGAATCTGGGGACTATTTTTTGAATTCTTCGTATAGTCGGACATGGGATTAGGCATTGGATTTTAATCAATAAAAATCAATAAAAATATTTTTACACTCACTTTATAGCATAAACACAGAATACTTACCACCAAAGTAACTCATCTAAGGAATTAAGAATACTTTGTTTTAAAATATATTTTATAGATAATATGTTTTATATTTTTAAAATATTCATTTTCATCTATTTGAAAGGGAGAACAGAGAGGGAGAAAGCAAGACATCTTCCATCTGAGAGTTCACTACCCAAGTACCTACAATAGCTGGGGCTATGCCAGGCTGAAGCCAAGAGCCCAGAACTCCATGCAGATCTCCAATGTGGGTGGCAGGGGCCTAAGCACTTGAGCCATCATCTGCTGCCTCCCTCCCAGGATGCATTAGCAGAAGCCAGCTTGGAAGCTGAGTAGTCGGGACTTGAACCAACCCTCCAAAATGGATGCAGGCGCCCCCGGTGGCAGCTTAGCTTGCTGCACCATGACATTTTTGAAGATTTGTATTTATTTATTTGAAAGGTGGAATTACAGTGAAAGGGACAGAGACAGAGAGAGATCTTCCGTCTACTGGTTCACTCTCAAGATAGCCACAACTCCTAGGACTGGGTCAGGATGAAGCCAGGAAGAGTCCTAGAGAAAGGGCAAAATGACAGTGTTGGGCTATTGAGTTGAAGCGTAATCCCAAGAACTGGTCACATTTCGCTTTGAGCTTCCTAGCGGCTATGGAAATGGGTTGTATAACTATCACTGCTTTAGAAGCTTTTCATTATATTTCATTACATTCTGGAAGGCGTGTGCCGGGTTGGTGGCACCACTGTGTGTGCACATTTTTATGTTGCGCTTTCTTTTGTTGCTCCTCACTGAAAGCATTTCTGTGGGGAAATCCAGCTAATTATGTCAGTATCTTCAAGAACTTAGAAAAGATCTGGGCTGACATAGACTTTGGGTTGGGTTTCTTAATCTTTTTTTTTTTTTTTTTTATTTGACAGGCAGAGTGGACAGTGAGAGAGAGACACAGAGAGAAAGGTCTTCCTTTGCCGTTGGTTCACCCTCCAATGGCCGCCGCTGCAGCCGGCGCACCGCGCTGATCCGATGGCAGGAGCCAGGATCCAGGTGCTTTTCCTGGTCTCCCATGGGGTGCAGGGCCCAAGCACCTGGGCCATCCTCCACTGCACTCCCTGGCCATAGCAGAGAGCTGGCCTGGAAGAGGGGCAACCGGGACAGAATCCGGCGCCCTGACCGGGACTAGAACCCGGTGTGCCGGCGCCGCAAGGTGGAGGATTAGCCTATTGAGCCACGGCGCCGGCTTGGGTTTCTTAATCTTAATCAGAGAGAGAAAGAGAGAGAGAGAGATCTTCCATCTGCTGGTTTACTCCCCAAATGCTTGCAATAGCTGAGGCTGGGTCAGGCAGTCAGGAGCCAGGAGCTCAAGTCTGTGTCTCCCACGTGAGTGGCAGGGACTCAAATACTTGAGCTACATCATCTAACTTCCCAGGGTGTGCATTAGTAGGAAGCTGGATCAGAAGTAGAGGAGCCAGGGCTTGAACCAGGCACTTTGGTATGAGATGCAGGCATCCCAATTGGTTATTTAATAACTGTGCCGAACTCCCACCCTGATTTTCAAGGTAATCACCCTAATAACTGTGGCATACATATATAATTTAAAAGGCAAAGTTACAGAGAGAGGGGGAAAGACAGAGAGACCCCAAATTGTTGCAACTGCTGGGGCTGGGCCAGGCTGAAGCCAGGAGCCAGGAACTCCATTCAGGTCTCCACATGGGTGGGAGGGGCACCGGCACTTAGGCCATCTTCCGCTGCTTCCCAAAGTGCATTAGCAGGAAGCTGGGTAAGAAGTGAAGCAGCTGAGACTCGAACAAGCCTTCTTATGGGATGTATCGCAGGCGATAACCTAACCTGCTATACCACACCTGGCCCCTAATACTATAGCTTTTAAACAAAAGAAGAAAAAATAAAACAGCTAGATTTGTGTCTCTACCACCCCCCTCCTTTCTCCAGGATTGAAATGTCAAAGGATGCACTGCCTGAGAAGGCTTGTCAGCTGGACAGTCGTTATTGGAGAATCACAAATGCTAAAGGGGATGTGGAAGAAGTTCAAGGCCCGGGAGTAGTTGGTATGTAACGCAAGATGTAGGCTTACACATCACTTGCTTTGAAGAACTTTCAGACTTTGCATCATAAATAGAAAGGTCATTATGCTATCTATTTAGTCCCCTAAACATTAACTTTTCTAAAATTACAGCAAATTCAGTTATTCAGGAGCTGATTTCCCTTTCTGTAGATCACCTGGGATTCCTTGCTCATCCTGATTATGTTCTTTATTTTTTTAACTGGTTGATTAGTCACTATTATATTCTGAGAGTTAAAAGGTATGTAGGGCAGAAAGAGAAAGTAAATTCGGTATTAGTCATCTTTTTGAGGTTTAGGGATAAAGATTCAGAAGGGAAAACCCACTCAAACTCAGACTTAGTTTCTCCCACAAACTTTCACAACACTGATCACTCCTGATACTGGATGTATGGGGATTTTCCCACACCCACCAAATAAGCAGTCAGTTCTTTAGCAGCAGACACAGCCTGGTGTCCCCTAATTCCAGGCAGTCCTGACACTGTCTACCTGCAGACAGCCTGAAAGCCCGGGGGTGAGACCTCACTCCCCAGTACTGCCCCCACTTCAGACCCAGTCACTAGTCTAGGCCGCTAGGACTTCCGACCTACTGGCTATACATTGAGGTCCCCACGACCTCTAGCAGCTCACAGAACTCAGGGAAATGGTATACTTACATTTACTCCTTTTATTATAAAGGACATTTTAAAGGATACAACTAAGTAGCCAGATGAAGAGATACAAGTGTGCTTGAAAAACATTATGAAATGGAATTTTTAAAAAAGATTCATTTATTTATTAAAAAAGCAGAGCAGCAGAGAGAGAGAGAGACAGAGAGAATCAAGATCTTCCATCTGTTAGTTCACTCCCCAAATGAATGGCTGCAATGGCTAGGGCTGAGCCAAGCCAAAGCCAGGAGCCTGGAACTCCACATAGGTCTCCAACATAAGTGACAGGGGCCCAAGTACTTAGGGCCATCTCCCACTGCTTTCCCAGGCATGTTAGAGAGCTGGAGGATAAACAGAGTACCTCGGACTTGAATGGGTGCCCAATATGGGATGCCAGTATTCTAAGTAGCAGTTTAACCTGCTACACCACAACCCCAGCCCCAGGAAATGCAACTAAAAAATAAATGTATTTTGGTGTAAAAAAGTCTTGAATGTTAATGCTAATACTAAGGAGTTTTATTGAAACCATAGTTCTTTTTCTCTTTTTCCTTCCTCATTCTTCTTCTGCCACTTGGTCTGTTTAAGTACTCTCCCTATGCCTGCCATTTTGTCTGGTCTGAATGCCCAGGATGCAGCTTCAGAAAGTTTTAGTCTCTTGCTGCTATTAAACATTTGGAGTGCCCTTATCTCTGTTTGAACTCGTGTCTAAAGATAATCCTTGTTACTACTCATGGCTTAAGGACTGTGTCTGGAATGCCTCGAGGCCCTTTTAAAAAGAAAATGTGCCTGTTTTGTGTTGTTTCGCCAGATATTTACTGTCTACCCCCTGTGTGGTAGAGAATTTGTTGGAGGTTACCAAAAAAAAAAATGTTGAGGAATAAAGTACTTGCTCGTAATTCCATCATTGTTACCATTTTGTGATGTTTCCTTTTAGACTTTTCCTGTGAATTTACTTTTACGTAATTTGCGTAAATCCCATAAGGAATATACCTTACCTGCTGGAATGGAGAGCTGAACTTTATACCTTGCTTCGTTGTTACCGTTTTCTCTGCAGGTGAATTTCCGATCATCAGCCCAGGTCGGGTGTATGAATACACAAGCTGTACCACGTTCTCTACAACCTCGGGATATATGGAGGGCTACTACACTTTCCATTTTCTTTACTTTAAAGACAAGATTTTTAATGTTGCCATTCCCCGATTCCATATGGCATGTCCGACATTCAGGGTTTCCGTAGCTCGACTGGTAAGTTAAATTTTCCTCTAGTGCTGATTTACACGACTGTAGAGTAACTCCACCGAGGATCTTTGTTGATTAAGCAGACAAGTAATTACACACAGTGTTCCAGAGAGGGCCCTGGTGAGTCTGAGGAAGTACCTTAGGTGTCACTTGCGTGTTGACTGAGGTGGACAGTCAGTGCTGCTCTATTCTCTTCTGCCAGGGAAACTCCACTGTTACCTTTTCCACTGTTTCCAAAAACAGTTTTGTGGCCTCAGCATATTAGAATACGAGACATACCACACCAGACTATTAGAGTCTGCTTTATTTTATTTCACTTAGGGAAAACAATTCCTTATGCTGTTTTTGCTAGTATTTCCAATTCAATAAAATAAACACCTACCCTGCAGAGATCATTACAAAGAGGATATAATGGGTAGAGTTTTACTTGTACCAGTCTCTCTGGGATCATTTCTCAAGTCAATGAGGTAATATTTTTTAGATCTCATTTTTAGGATCACCTTGTGACAGATGCGAACAGTAACCCCAATCTTACGGGGTATAAAATGGCTAAGGGAAATGACAAAGCTCCAGTTATACAGTAAGAATACAATTTGAATTGTATACCAGGAACGCAGTCGATCTGTAGGCATTGAATGCCTCATAGCTCCTGGCATGATCCTGATGAGTGGGTCTGAAATCATTCTGGGAAAATGCACATGATATTAATCACATTCTCAATTCCAGTTTGGAAGGAGAAGGGTAATGATGAGCCTGTTACTGTATTTGTGATATGTGGTGCATATCACAGTGTGCATTTGGAAGTGAAGTTTTAGCTTCCCGCCCAGTGGAGGAGTGTTAGAACTCACCACTTCCCATGTAACTGCTTTCTATTTTTGATTAGCCCAGGATCTCTATGAGAATTGTATCATCCTTAAATGTTTGATGTGTTTCATCAATGAAGCTACCTGGGGCTAGAATTTTTTTTTGGTGGGAAAATTTTGAAATATGAATTTAATTTCTTTAATATTCATATTTTCTATTTCTTCTTGTTTCAGTTTTGGTAATTTGTGCCTTTCAAGGAATTTGTCCATTTCATCTAAATGTTGAATTTATTGGCGTAAAGTTATTCACAATATTCCTTTGATATCCTTTTAATGACTACAAGAGCTGTAGTCATATGTCCTCTTTTGTCCTTAATATTGGTAACTTATACCTTCTCTTTGGTTCACTACTTTACCTAGAGGATTATCACTTTTATTGATCATTTAAAGGGGAAAAATTGGTTGTACCAATTTTCTCTATTGTTTGTTCATGTTCTATTTCGTTGATTTCTGAAGTTTTCTTTCTCTCCTGGTGGGATTTAATTTGCTTTTCTTCTTCTAGTTTTTTAAGATACACATTTAGATTATTGATTTTAGAGCTTTCTTCTCTAAGCACTGTTTAGCTGTTTCATAAATTTTGATGTTTTCATTGACATTTAATTCAAAGTAGTCCGAGATTTCCCTTGTAAATTAATTCTGATCTGTCACTTTTCTAGAAATGTGTAAATTTTCAAACAGTTGGAGATTGTTCAGTTGTATTTTGATTATTGATTTCTAATTCTATGGTGGTTGGAGAACTTGCTCTGTACTTCTAAAATGTCATATGGTCCAACATTATGGTCTGTCTTGATTAATGATCCTTGTGTATTTGAAAAGAATGTATATTCTGTCATTTGTGGGAGGAAATTATTCTATCAGTAGTAGCTCAATTGATTGACAATGTATTTCAATTTTATGTATTTATTGAGTTTTGGGGAAATTTCCAACTAAAATTATGATTTGTATATTTCTTTTTTAAGTTTTGTTAGATCTGCCTCATGTATTTTGAAACTCTATACTTGTATGCAGATATGCTTAGAATTGTTATGTCTTTTCAGTGAGGTGATTCTTTTATCATTATGAAACCTCCCTCTTTATCTTTGATAATATCCCATGTCCTCAACTCTAAAGACTGGTGAAGTTTGCTTTGGCAGGCAGTTGAGTTATTTTTTGGTCAGCTTGAGCCTTTGGAGGCTTGTTTTACCATTTGTTAGGGTGGGTATAAAGTAGCCTTTACTTAATGGCAGTGGTTCTCTAACTCTGCAGTCTCCTGACCCCCCTTGAACTCTTAACACTGATAGAGGACACCAAAGAACTCCTGCTTATGTGGGTTATATGGATATTTACCATATTAAAACTAAAACATGTTTACCACATTATTATAAGTTCCTTTTAAAGTTATAATAAAAAAAACTGATTTCATGTTCAGCCTTCTCCTAACTGTGTTCTCACTTATTCACAGTTAATTTCCTCCTGACCAAGAATAAGCATATAAAATCTTGACCTGCCTTGTGAAAAATTCTTCCTCTCATGCATGAGAAATCGGTGAAAAGAAATGAGAATTCTGGACTTATTTCTGGTCAACATGAAAAAGGCAGTGGGGGTAGTATTGTTGAACTTTTCTTTTTTAAATGTTAGTTTTCTTGATTTGGAAACTGAGTTGTTCTGTTCCTTTTTTGTCCTTACCATTCTAATTAGTTGGCTTATTTTTTCCTTTGTCTTCAATACTTCGAGTACCATGTTCAAATACACCACAGGCCGGTCTCATGCTTGTTCTTGGTCTAGGTGGTTTGTTTTGCTTGTTTGGGCATTTTAGAGGCCCCTGGTAATCACTTACTTGCGCTCTGGTCTGTGTGCCCCTTTCTGTCTGCTGTTTGAGTGCTTTTATCTGAGCAATATCTCTTTAGCCACATTGGTTTCCTTTGTTTTCCATTTTTGTCTTCTTTAAAATAATAATCATACTACCTAGATATTATTCTGTTTTAGGGTTTCCCAAGCCTTCCCCTTTCTTCGTTTTGGGTTTCCTATGGAATTTTAGTCTCCATTCCTTAGATTAAGAAAAAAAATCCAAAGATACAAATAATGGAATATCTTGTAAGTCATATCTGTGTATTTTCTTCAGTTGTTATTGTTGTTGTTAGTGTTACAATAAATCCTAAATGACACAATTCCTTTCTCCTACATTAATTCATTTGCTTGTTCAACAAATGTTTATTGAGTATTATAGTAAACAATACTACCAAAATCCCTGTCTTGGAATTTTCATTCTAGTTGGAAGAGACAAATTGTAATAAATACACATTATGTACTTACAAGTGCTATGGAGAAAAATCAGAGCGCAAGGAATCAGGAGTGGCCTGTTGGGTTCTAATGTAAATCTGTATCAGGAAAGACCTTGGTGACGTGGAAGCTGGGGCATGAAGGAGTAGAGGAGGCCAAGCAGCCATGGGGATCAGAGTTCCATCCCGAGAAGCAGCAAGTGTGGAGGTGCTGATGCAGGAGTGTCCTGGGCGTGATGGAGCTGAGGCAGCCAAGGTAGCTGGAGTGCAGTGACAAAGGAAGAGACATTTGAAGATGAGATCAGAGAGAGAGTGGGCTGCTGCATCGTGCAGTGCCGGAAAAGCCTCACTGAAAAACCGGGACTGACGGCCTGCCTGAGTGTTCCAGGATTTCCCAGATTATCGCCCAGCTCCTCCTTGCTGCTCGTCATTCTGTCCCCTGTGGCAGCTCGTCTTGTTGAAATGAGAAAATTGACAGCAGAGGGGAAGACAAGGCGTGACTAGAGATGGCAGAACTGAAGTTTCCATGAGACATTCGTCAGATATTGCATGTTCGGCATCACTGCTGTTCTATTCCGAGCCTCCTGCAAGTTAATTTAGAGGTCGAGGCTACTCCTCCCTGCCATATGGGCTGACTTTGTGATCTACTTCTTAATGATTTGGGAAAGTGACACTGAGTTCTGAGGCTAAGCCACAAGAAGACGATACACCTTCAGCATGGAGTTCTCTGAGCTGAGCCTCCTCGTAAGATGACCAGCTACCATGAAGGCGCCATGTGGGAGAGAACATAGAGAGATGCCACTTAGAGACAGAAGGACGCCCAGGAGCAAGTGTTCAGTCTCCAGAGGTGGAATCCTCCCGGCCTGGGGACCAGACATGTGAGTGAAGAAGCCCTCCCAATCCCAGCCACCATCTGACTGCAACATCAGGAGAGACCCTAAGCCAGAACCACCCCAATGAGTACTTCCCAAATACCCAACCCTCGGGAACCATGAGAGAGAATAAGTGACTATTGTCGTTTTAAACCATTAAAAAAAATTTTTTTTAATTTTTTTAAAAAGTGAAGGCTGCCGATGGTTGACATAAAATGATGTGTCTATATAGTAGCTCAACAGGTCTATTAGACCTCTTGCTGACAGTATGTAAAAATTACCAGTAGAGGTCATACCTGATTAATAATTTCACATATTTTTTAATATGTATATAGATTTAATAAAGAATTGTTATTTACTACATTACAATGATGACTTTAATAAGACTTTATCTTTGTTTACTAGGATTGGCCTGTTTGCTACCTTGTATGAATTACCAAGTATTGTGTGAAAATTAAGACCAGTCTTAATGGAATGTTTTTCCCATCTCAGTATTTACATGTGAAATGAACAAACCACTTAACCTGTGACACAAAATACACTACAGAATCTTGCATCAGCATGTGCATTATAAAAATGCACTGTTGAAGTCTAAGAAAATTTATATTTGGCATGTCTAGTTGTTTGGATTCTAGATAAATGAGAATTTGCATTAAATAACTATAAAAAAAACCTGATGGGCTCTCTTCTTATCAAAAGATTATTTTCTCTTTCAAGGAAATGGGTCCTGATGAATATGAAGAGATGGAAGAAGAAGAGGAAGAGGAAGAGGAGGAGGAGGAGGAAGATGACTCAGCAGATATGGATGAATCAGAAGAAGATGAGGAGGAGAGGCGGAGGAGAGTCTTCGATGTTCCCATTCGCAGACGCCGCTGTTCACGCCTTTTTTAGCAAGGCTTCTGCTGATGGAAGCGCTAGGATGATTCCAGGCTGTTAAATAGATCTCTCAATAATGTAAATAACTCAATTGTGTTCAGCTTACAGCAGGAAAGCTAGCATGAAATTCTGTTCCAGACCCCGGGTTCCACGCAACACTACATTAGGAATTGGATTGTTTTGGTTTGCCTTGTGTTTTTTGAGGTAGAAGAGGAAATGGGCTTCTTTTTGTTCTCTTCCAGGAGCCCATGGAAGAATAGTTCTCTAGCTAAGAGACAGACGTTTCTTTATTTTTCAAATATTTTATACTTATAAAAATATAGAAATGAGAAAGAATTGTTTTGAATATGGAATTTAAAAATGTAGCAGAAATACTTATACAAGGATAGAGAGAAATTGATGAATGACTGATTCCATGAAAAGACTTCTTACAGTTGTGACTTATTTAGAAGTGAACAAAATTTGTAATTAGGCACATATATTGTAGTGACTCCTAATGTTTTTTATTCACAGGGAACTAACTAACTTAAATGCTAGTGGTTTGTCCTTTAGACAATCTATCCTTGAATTTAAAGTCTTTATCACTAAGACCTTGAATTTAAAGTTTTCATCACTACAGCCTTGAATTTAAAGCCCTTTATCAGATTATTCACAAATGCATTTTTGAAATGTAGTGTGTACAAGTATGTGGTGTGTTGTTTATTAACAAAAGACTTCATAATGTCTCATGTAGTCTAAATTTGTAAATACTGTTTCTGTTTTGTTTCTCCTTTATACACTTGACTGTCTAACTTTGTGATAAGTGACATGAATTTTATGTAGGATTAAGTATGTTTTCCTGAAACATGGATTTTTTTGTATTTATATAATGAGAGTTTGGAATGAAATCCTTAAAGTGTCAAAAACTCATATTTTAAAGCTTCTGATCCTGTATTTTATATAATTGCCTATTTTCCATAAACTAACTTATTAAGTTTATCATTATACTTTTAAGATGGAAGATGGAATTGATACTTATCTGCTTGCTGGCAAAGTGTAGCAGAGTTGTTCCCTGGCCTTGACTGTACCTCTTGTTCTCTTGTGTGCTCTACCTTCCACTTTCTCCAAGAACAGCTCTTTTGTAGAGAAAACTGTAGGAAGCAACAGCCGTATTCAGGGTTAAGCAGCTGCCATTGGGAACCGTTCATATTGACACATGTCAACTCACCTATTCATATTGACACGTCAGAATGTTCTGAAATAGAGTACGCCTTTTTTCCTACTTACTTTTCATGTAATAGAGCACAGCCGTGCACTGCATAATGATGTCTCCATGAACCTTGACCACACATGCCATGGCTGGTAGCAGCCTCATACAACTTGCGTTTACTTTGCCTCTGGGTTGCGTCATTTGCTCTTGTGATTGATTTAATTTTGTGTTGATTAGTTCATCATGGCCCCTAATTGTACAAAATCCAGTGCTCATATTTCCATCAAAAACTCATGGTGAGCAATTGACCTAAAAATGGAATTAAAAGTGATTACAGTGGAAAACCAATGAGGGTTGTTGCTCGTCAGTCAGGCGTGTATTACCACACCAGAGCCACAATTTGAAGAACAAGAACAAAGTGATGGAAGCCGTTAAAGAATCTGCTTCATCCAAGGCAACAAGATGAATAAAACTTCAAGAAGGGCCTGTCTCAGATATGGAGAAACTTCTGACCTGGATTGAAAACCAGAGAGACAGAATCATCTTTTCTCAGCACCACGATGGCCGTGACCAAAGCAAAGCCAAGGCTAGACCTGACAGCCATGTTGAATTTACCGCTAGCTCTGGGTGGTTTAAGTGATTCATGAATTAGGACTCATTGTGTAACATGAAAGTGGTGAATCTTCAGGTGCTCATGTGAAGGCAGACAAAGAATTTTTGGAAACTCTAGATAAGCTAATAATAGATGGAAATTATTTGTCAGAGCAAAATACCATCTAGGTTTGCATAAGTATATGGTGTCTGCACAACAATGAAATTGCTGAACAATGTATTCATTTAATGATGCCTTGCTCAGAACATATTCCTGTCCTTAAGTAACCCATGACTGTATTATCAGGCTAGCAAATCCTTCCATATGACTTTCCCCATTTTTTTTTTTTTTTTTTAATCAGCACCTTTAGGCTGCTGTAACAAATTACTTTGGGTAATTTACAAACAGTAGAAAATTACTGCTCACAGTTCTGGAGGCTGGAGAGCCTAACATCAAGGCGCCAGCAGATCTGGGGGTCTGGTAAGGGCCTGCTCTCGAGACACTTCAGAATGTCCTCAGGTGGCAGAAGAAGTAAACAGACTCCCTCAGGCTGCTTATAAAGGGACACTAAAGCCACCTGTGAGGGTCCCACCCTCATTATCTAATCACCCCCTAAAAGCCCACATCTTAATACTGTTGATTTGTGTATTAGGTTTCAATAAGTTTTCCAGGGACGCAAACCTTCAGACCCTGGCACCAACCCATTTATTTTTACAAATTTTCCCCATAAAGCAGTAACTGAAAATGGTAGCAACTGAAGCTGGCCCTGTGATCCCTTGCCAATTTTTCAAATGTATCTTTCTCTTTTCTAGTTGACGTCTCTGATTCCAGCGTGCTCACCATACCCACCAGTTCCTTTGCAACCCTATCCAGTCCTTACTTTTTAGAATGCCTCAAGTTTGCTTATCCTCCCATCAAAACTCACATTCTTCTGCTACATTGAATGAGTGATACCTGGTTCATCCTAAGGTGTGGCTAGTTGATAATAAGTCTCTGTTTAAATTCATCGGCAAGGATACACATAGGAGATATTTAATAGCATTAACATTGCCCAAACCAGGGCCTGGTATTGCGGCATAGCAGTTAAGCCACTGCCTGAGATGCTGGCATCCCATATGGGTGCTGGTTTGTGCCCAGGCTGTTCCACTTCCGATCCAGCTCTCTGCTGATGTACCTGGGAAAGCAGTGGAGGATGGCCCAAGTGCTTGAGCCCCTGCACCCATGTGGGAGACCTGGAAGAAGCTCCTGGCTTTGGTCTGGCCCAGCCCTGGTTGTTGTGGCCATTTTGGAAGTGATCCGGTGGATGGAAGATCTCTTGTCTTCTCCCCTTCTCTCTCTGTAATTCTGCCTTTCAAATAAGTAAATCTTTTAAAAAAATGTTTGCCCCAACCAGACTACTGGTGGAGCAGAGTCCATTTCTGGCTCTGAGGCCCCTTGGAATACCACTTCTTTTTCACTCTTGCCTAAAACTCTGAATGAGACAGATACCCAAGTTAATAGCTTAAGTAGCTGAGGGCTTATTTTGTGAAAAGTCAGAAGTAACTAGTTCAGGGCTGGCATCTTGATTCAATGGTGTCATTAAAGTTTTAGTTTCATTCAGTGTCCTGCAAACTTAGCAATTTTTTTTTTTTTTTAAATTTGAAAACAGAGAGAGATCATCCATCTGCTAGTTTATTCCCCAAATGGCCACAACAGTCAGATCTGGGCCAGGCCAAAGCCAGCAGCAAGGAACTCCATCTGGGTTTCCCACTGCTTTTTGAGGTACATTAGCAGGGAGCTGGATTGCAAGTGGTGCTGTCATACAGGATGTTGGCGTCACAGGCAGTGGCTTAACCCACCATTCCACACCGGCCCCAAGACTTTCCTCTAAAGGTCACCTCATGTTGCAAATCAGTAGCTGCAGACACTGTATTTAAGGAAAGATGATAAGAAAAGGGCAAAATTAAGTGGAAAACAAAAAGCTATGAGGCATGAGAGGTAAACCAGCTTGGTCTCTAGCAGTCATGTGGAGTATAAATGGGAAGGGGTTGGGGACGCAGGAATTCACATGGGCAGTATGATGGCCGGGTATGAAGGAATTATGCTAGCACAAACAAGCTAATTTATAGGCTGAATTAGGACAGCAGCAATACTGGTAGAGGGAAGAGGGCATGGTAAAGTAGGCACGAGTTGGTGAGATGTGGAAGTAGATGAAATCAAAGCTGACCGCCAGACGTGTGGCCTTACTTAAGAAAAGTGATTGATCACTGGAGGTGAGCTCCAATTTGTACACACTGAGCTCAAGCTATGGGGATGTTTAGCCTAGTGGTTAAGATGCCAGTGTCCCACATGGGAGGGCCCAGGTTAGATACCTGCGTCTGGCTCCTGACTCCAGCTAATCCAGACTCTGGAAGGCAGCCATGATGGCTCAAGTGATCGAGTTCCTTGCATGCACGTGGGAAATATGAACTGAGTTCCTTGTTCCTGGCTTTAACCTCAGCCCAGCCCTGGCTGTTGTGGACCTTTGGAAACTGAAGCAGCAGAAGGAAGCTTGATGGCACGCACATCTCTCGCTCAAAAAAAAAAAAAAAAAAAGGGAGACTGGTGCTGTGGCGTATGGGGTAAGCTTCCACCTGCGGTGCCGGCATCCCATATGGGCACTGGTTCTAGTCCCGGCTGCTCCTCTTCCTATCTCTCTCTCTGCTATGGCCTGGGAAAGCAGTAGAAGATGGCCCAACTGCTTGGGCCCCTGCACCCACTTGGGAGACCCAGAAGAAGCTCCTGGCTCCTGGCTTCAGATGAGCCCAGCTCTGGCCGTCGCAGCCATTTGGGGAGTGAGCCAGTGGATGGAAGACCTTTCTGTCTCTCCCTCTCTCTGTAACTCTATCTCTTAAATAAAATAAAATCTTAAAAAAAAAAAATGGGGGGGGGGCAGGATAGATATCAGATGGAGCTGTCCAGCAGTCAGTTGACTATGGAGGTTGGGGGCATGGCCAGAGCTAGACAGAAAGATTCCCAAGTACGCCTGGGGTAACGCAAAGCAGAGGCACTACAGGTTCTCCGTGCAACCCTGGAGCACCACATTACTAGTGGGAAGAGGAAGAGAATCTCAAGATCAAATGGTTAAGAAACTGGGAGCAAATCCAGGGCAGAGTCGCATCTCAGGACCCGAGAGGGTTTCAAGAAGGGAACAGCTCATGGGATGCACAGGAAAGGGCTTTATAAACCCATTACGGGCAGCAGGCACACTAAATATCAAAGCAAGTCCTTCCGATTTAAGAAGGTCTCCTTACACGGAGGAAAACCAGGATTTGAGCTCCACTCAACCAGCTCCTTCTCTGACAGCCTCAGACCATCAGAAGATCATGGGAGAAGCACCTGTCTAGACAGTAACTTGATTTTCCCTGAAAGAGATTCAGAAATCTAACATCTCCCCTGTCGACTCCTGCCCCATGCATTTTTTCCCTTCCCAGGCAGCACAAGCAGTGTGGCAATGCAGTCAGTAGCTACTTACCCCGATCCCCACCCCGGGATGTCGCTTGCTCTCGTCGGGGGGCCTCAAGCCCCTCTGGGAAACTCTTGCTCCCTTTCTCCCCTGTGCCCTTCAAGCCGGCCCTGCAGTGGGCGGGACACTCTCTCTAAGTGCCCAATGGAAACTCGAAGTTCCATCTGCCTAGAAAAATGTTCTCTCGGGGGTTGGGAATCTTTTTTATTTTCCCTGCCAAGGGCTATTTGCATATTTATGACATCATTGAGGGGGCCATACAAAATAATCAACTGAAAAGCTAGCCTGCTCTAGACTTATTGAATTTCGAGTTACACCTGCGGTGCCTTGGCAGGACCAGAGCCAAGGATTTCACAGGCCCAATGCAGCCCTGCATAGCGGTGCTGTTCCCAGCCGCCTGAGCGGAGTCTTGCCAAATCAGTCACACCGGGCAGCCGCAGCTGTGGTGAAGAGGAACCAGACCCGGCAGGCCGCCCGGCGACAAGAAACAAGTTTTGCAAAACATCACACACACGCACACGGTCGTTTTTTAACCCGGCAGGCTCAGCTGGAACCATTTCCCGAGAACTGAGCAACAATCCCATGTTCCTTAACAATTTTTATAGATTCATCAGCATCACACCTCCGCTGTTACAGCATTGGTGGGTTTAACTTGCAGCCTATGTGACTTAGGACTACACTTCCAATGGTCGGTGGGTCCAGTATGTTTGTAAAAGAGATACCAGGGAAAGTTTATGACTGGAGTCTGCAGAAGCAGAGCTTAGGACACCTTACCTCCCTAGACAAGATAACAGTGGGCAGCTGCTTAGCAAGGTTTGCGTTGCGGGGAGGGGTCTACATTTCTTTGTCTTTGGTTGCCGCCGTATTTCCTCTACAACACGAGCCCAAGAGGAAGGGAAAAATCAAGATCTTTGGGAGTTCCCTGTTTTTTATTTTTGATAACCCATCAAAAGACGGCGCCAGGAACTTTGCGTCCCCGGGAAGTCCTGGGGGTGGCCTTGGCCCGGGCGCCCCGCCAAGCTCGGGGAAGTCTGAGGGCTCCTGTTCCCGGGAGCGCTCAGGGGCGGCTCCGAGCCGGACCGCGCCTCCAGGAGGCGGAGCCGTGGGGCCGAGGCCGGAGACCCTCGAGGCTGCGCGGAGGGTTGACGCGGACTCCTGGCGCCGACAGGTAAGGCCGGCCGCCCGCCCGCCGTGGGGCCGCGGGTGCTCCCACGGGCGGCGGGGCCCCGCGGGGCTGCAGAGGCGCCTCGGCTTCTGCCCGCGCCTGCTCGCCGCCCTCCCTCGCGCGCGGCGGCCCGGGTTCCCCAGCCCTCGGTACTTCAGTTTACCACAAAGGAAAGCGGCGAGCGGCCCTCGCCTGGAAACACCCCCAGGTTCCATGGCGGGGGTTTTGTCGCGCGGGGGTGGGGGTGGGGGGTTTCGGACGCTCACCACCTGCGTGCCCCTTGCAGCCGGATCGAGAAGCCGCGCTAGGTGCCAGCCCCAGTGCGCTCGCGGCCATTCCGCCTTTCCCTGGGTGGGGGGGGAGACTGGGTTTTCTTGGGCTGACCCGCAGCACACCCCTCTTGGTGCCTCACTGCCGGCCTTTTTACAAAATTCTGGGCTGTGCCTTTTTCCTGATTCCGTGACACAGGCTCTCCACTGATAATGGTGAGCAAGCGACCTAGCGGCATTCTCGTCATTTTCTTTACTTTTTTTTTTAAAGATACATCTTTCTTATTTGAGAGGCAGAGAGAGATTTTCCATCTGTTGGTTCACTCCCCCCAAGTGGCCACAACAGTGGGGGCTGGGCCAGGTCGAAGCCCGGAGCCTGGAGCTCCACCCGGGTCTCCCACGTGAGTTGCAGGGGCCCAAGCACTTGCACCCCGACCTGCTGCTCCCCAGGGTGCGCTGGATCCGAGAGGAGCTGCCGGGACGCAACTAGGCGCTCCATTATTGGGGGCCCTCTCAAAAGGGGTGGCCCCGCCTCCTTTTCTTAGAATGATTTGAAGGACTCCAGAAGATAGTTGGGGTGCTGGGCCGGGCACCTGGCCAGGAACTATGCACAGCGTGGTGGCTGTTATATTCCAGCTCCCTTGTGATCAGCAGTCTCCAGGTTCCCCCCTGGGGGCAATTTGCTCCTGCCGCTGGGGGCAGGGCAGGCATGTCACCCATCACACCCCTAAAACTTAGTGGAAAAGTTGTTGTCCTACCCCACAGCTAGTCAGTAACTGACCAGGGATAGTAAAAGAAAGGAGTTGATTAGCAATGCGCAGACCCAGGAGTCTGACAGCTGTCACTAAGTGCTCTGGGGATTAAGGGCTGTGAATCTTAGGGATTTGGGGTGAGAGGTGCAGCTGGTATTTTTTTTTTTTGCTTTTGTTGTTTTGTTTTTTGGTCAGCCTTAGGGGACAGTATGTTTCTTTCCTCATGGCCAAAGGTGGTCTGCAGGGGAGGTTGGGGGTTGCTTTGTTTGCTCAAGGGCTGGCAGTTGCTGCAAAGCTCTGAGGATAGAGGCCAGCACAAGGATCTTCAGTACGGAGGTGCTCCCAGAGTTGATGACTCAGGCCTCACCCAGGCCACTCCCTGGGCTTACTGAGTCGTTTCCCAGCCGGGAGCTGACTTGTTATCATCAAAGGCAAACAGAGGGGCTGTCGGCTAGGAGCCTGGTGAAGTGTCCATTAAAGGCATAGCCCTCAAAAGCGTCCGTTCGTCCGTTCGTGTAGGAGGCCCCATGTGCTAAGATGTGGCGGTTTACAATGCAGGAGTGATTTTGACAAAGGAGAGGCTAGCTCCCTGCAAACCAAACAGATTGTCACCGGGGAAGGTGGCAACTGGTCAGCTTTGCTGTAAAGAAAACATTCCATTATGCTCAATGGTTTGGAAGATAGAAGCCCAAGTGAAATGGCTTTTAAAAAGGGTGGAAATGCCAGGGCCTGAGCCTGTCTTTGGATATGGGACTGAGGAAGGAACTGCAGGGAAGGCCTTTGGGGGTGGGGGCTGCCTATTTGTGTAGGTTCAGGAGTTCTGAGGTGGTTGTTTCTGGCACCTGTCCCTGGGGTGGCTGGGAGGGAGGGGCCCTTCCATTGTGATGGCTGTCTGCCCCTGCCTCTGCCTGCTGATGTAATTATCACTTTGAGTAGCTTTTGCTTGTGCCCCTTAGAACTTGGCTACAGTATGCACTGTGTGTGTCCAGGTGATAAGGACCTAGAAGCTTCAGGCCACTTATGAGTCACCAGCCCGGATGAGTAGAATTGAGATTCAGGCACGATGGCTTCAGGACTGTGCTCTTGCTTTGGGGCAGGTAATTTCATCCCCATGAGGGTCCATTCATATCTTCTAAAATTAGGAGTTGGGGTTTATTTTAAATTCTTGTTTATTTAAAAGGCAGAGAGATGAGAGCGACAGAGAGCTCCTATCTTCTGGTTCACTTCTCAAATTGAGCTCCTAACAGCCTGGTTTGGGCCAGGCCAAACCCAGGGCCTTGGAACTCAATTCCTGCTCATTAGCAGGAAGCTGGAATCCGGAGTGCAGGGAGCTACAGCTCAGACCCAGGCACAGGCGATGGATGCGCCCCAAGCAGCCTCTTTAACCCCCAGGCCAGACACCTTCTCCTGGGATTTTATTTTTGAGGCCATATCTAGCTTTAAAGTTCATCAGCCCTAAGAGTAGTAACTACTCCCAGGCATCTGCAGATCTCGTGGAAATACTGCCAATGGGCAGCCTCTACTTTGCTTGCTTCCTCAGCCCAATGTATTTCAGAAGCTGGATTCCCAACAAGTCTGCCTCCACGGAGAGTTTATGGCTCAGAGCCCAGGGCTGGTTTTAAATGTTGTTACACCATATTCAATTCCGAGGTTGCAATATTATTTCTACTAGTGTTTTAAAATTTTTATTATTTTTTATTTGAGAGGCAGAGAATGCTCACATGCACTGGTTCACCCCTCAAATGCCTGAAACAGACCAGAAACACAATCCAGGTCTCCTATGTAAGTGGCAAGGCTTCGATGACCAAGTCATTGCCACTTTGCTTCCAGAATCTGTGTGAACAGGAAACTGGAATCTAGAGAAGAGCCAGGAATCGAACCCAGGCCCTCTGCAGTGGGCTGAGGGCATCGTCACCACTAAGCTAGGCGCTTGCTCTCTGCTGTTTTTTTTTTTTTTTTGTACTAAACACAACCTGATGAATCTTAACAGTGCATCGGTGCCACTGGGCCAACACCAAGGGGCAAGGTTGTGTCCCTCTCTGGAGCTGGAGGGAGAATGCTGCTGCACACTGGTTATTGGCAGAATAGAGTGACTGAGGTCCTGTTTCCTTGCTGAGTGGCAGTCGAGGGCCATCCTTACCTCCTTGAGGCCACCTGCACGCCTTGGCTTGTGGAACCCTTGTCTTCCAGTCAGCAATAGCAGGTTGAACCCGTCGTCCTCTTCAGTGCTCTTCCCTCTGTTTCTGTTGTCACATCCTGTGACAGACTCTGAGCCGCCTTCCTCCTCCTCGGGCCCACTGTATAATCCAGACAATCCCCGGCGACCTTAATCTCTTCTCCCATCACTTGCTCTGTAAGGTTGATTTTTTTTTAAAAAAAAGATTTATTTATTTGAAAGCAGGAGAGACATAGACCTTCCATCTACTAGTTCACTCCCCAAATGGCTGAAACGGCTGGGACTGGACCAGGCCAAAACCAGGAGCTTCATCAGGTTCTCCCATGTGGATGCAGGGCCCAAGCACTCGGGCTGTCTTCTGCTCTTTCCCAGGCACATTAGCAGGGAGCTGGATCCGTAGTGGAGCAGCCAGGACTCGAACTGGCACACATACGAGAAGCCGGCATTGCCGGCAGTGGTTTAAGCAACCCCAGGGTTGCTTCCTTCACGGGTTCCTGGAATGAGGGTGTGGACATCAATGCAGGGAGAGCCTCACTGTGCCTACCACAATACTCCTTCCCAGCCCTCCCTTTCCTCTTGCAGATTCAGTGTACTTGAATGCATCGTTTGAGGATTACTTACAATTACGGAGTCGAGAGCACCTTGCCCAACAGCTAGCCGTGGTATTTGCTCACTAGAAGGAGGTGAACACAGAAACAAGGCCTTGCCTAATGGCTTGAGTCCAGTGATGGAATCGTGTAGGCTGTTAAAAATAGAAGCAGCGGCTTCTTTTACAGCCCTTTTGGAAGAGGCACTGTCAGCCCTCTGTAAGGTAGCCTCACCCTTGAAGCAGGTCACTGGCTAAGGCAGTGGTTCGCCTCAGCACGCGCAGCACCTGGAAACTGGTTAGAATGCACATTCCCAGGCCAGCACCAGGACTTCGGAATCCCTCCCTCCAGGGGTGGGGTCCACCAGCCAGCTTTGAAAGCCTCCAGCTGATGCTGTTTGAGAACCAGTGTCTTTCGCCGCTTGAAGTTGGTGTCCGTTCCCCTAGACTGTAAGGGTTGTGAGAGTGGAGTCTCAATTTCTCAACAGTCACTGTAGCCCTGTGCCTGGTACCTGCTCACAGCCGGCGTGTGACGTTGCTGTAGAGATATTTGGGAGGTCAGAGGTCGAGTCTGAACCTGCTTAACAGGGAATGGAGAGAGTTTAGCAACTTGATGGCTGACATGCCTCAAGGCCTTCTATGGACCAATAAGGAAATCGAGGCACGGAGAGGTTTTGAACCTGCCAAAGCAGCAGCTCTAAGACGTCTCCCTACCCTGCCCCACCTCCCTGAACTGATCCTGAAATAAGGAGGTGGCAGCTCTTGTTATCCTCATTTTTGCTCTTTGAAATAATGCGCAGTGTTGACGATTTACTTATTCCTGTCTGAAAAGCCTATTTGGAATCCTCTACTCTTTAAAAGATTAATTAATTAATTAGAAAAGCAGAGTGACGGGGAGGGGGGACAGATCTGTCCACTGGTTCCCTCCCCTAAATGCCTGTGTTACAGAAACGGGGTGGGAAAAGCCCCTTGGTTCAAACAGGCACCAGAGACAGTGGAGGCGCCAGAGCAGCTTATTAACGCCAGCAGGCTCAGCTGGACCCATTTCCCGAGAACTGAGCAACAATCCCAAGTTCCTAAACAATATTCGCAGGTTCGTGAGCATCACACCTCCGCTGTTACAGCATTGGTGGGTTTAACTTGCAGCCTGCCTGACTTAGGACCACACTTCCAATGGTCGGTGGGTCCAGTATGTTTGTAAAAGAGATACCAGGGCAGGTTTATGACTGGAGTCTGCAGACGCAGAGCTTAGGACACCTTCCCTCCCTAGACAGGATAACAGTGGGCGCTGCTTCGCTAGTTAACTGTGAGCAGCCACTTTTCAAGGTTTGTGTTGGGGGGGGCGGGGGTAGCGGGGAGGGAGCTTTTCTTTCTTTGTCTCCATAACCGCAACAGTTGTGGCTGGGCCAGGCTGAAGCCAGGAACCTGGAACTCTGTCCCAAGTACTTGATCCTCCCAGCAGAATTAGCAGGAAGCCGGATCAGGAGCAGCATGACTGGGACATGCACCAGCACTCCAACATGGGACGTGAGAGTCCCCAGGGGCAGCCCAACTGCCTGTGCCACAGCACCTGCCCCCTGGGGCCTCATTAAGGAATTCACTTCTGAGTCAATTTAGGAGCCATCAGAAAAATCTGTTCTTCCTACAGAAGAGTGGATAAGGGTGTGCTTTCTTTTCTTTTTTAAAAGATTTACTTATTTATTTGAAGGCAGAGTTACAGAGGGGCAGAGAGAGATCTTCCATCCGCTGGTTCACTTCCCAGATGGCTGCAACGGCCAGAGCTGCACTAATCCAAAGCCAGGAGCCAGGAGCTTCCTCTGGGTCTCCCATGTGAGTGCAGGGGCCTCAGGACTTGGGCCATCTTCCACTGCTTTCCCAGACCATAACAGAGAGCTGGATTGGAAGTGGAGCAGCTGGGACTCGAACTGGCGCCCATACTGGGTGGCAGCTTTACTCGCTATGCTACAGCGTTGTACCCAAAATGGTCCTTTCTAGTAGGTTCCCTTATCTTATTCTGTAGGGCCTTACTTGGAGTAACTGCAGGTTGTTTTGAATAATGAAGTCCACCCTCAAAGGAGGAAGACTTGTCACTGCCTATCTTTTCTGGAGATTACCAATAGTGCATTCTTTGGAAAAAACTGGAAATCACTGAAAACAACAGCAGTATTGTTGGAACAGTCCATAGAAACAAATCCAATTTTTCCTTTCTTCCTTTTTTAATGATGGTACTTAGTATTTTCTTCTCTCTCGCGCGCGTGCGCGCTCTCTCACTCTCTCTTTTAAGATCTGTTTGTTTATTTGATAGGCAGAGTGATAGAGAGATCAAGTTCTTTCATTCCATAAGTCATTTCCCAAATGACTGCAATGGCCTGGGCTGGGCCATGTAGAAGCTAGGGACCTGGAATTCCATTGTGGTCTCCCATGGGGGTGACAGGCCCGGTCGCTTGGGTCAGTTTCTGCTGCTTTCCCAGGTGCATTAGCAGGAAGCTGGATCCGAAGCAGAGCAGCTGGAATTTGAACTGTTGCTCACGTGAGATGCCAGCCTTACAGGCAGCAGCATAACCCACTGTGCCACAACGCTGGCACCACAAACCACCATTATTAACAAGTCCTGACGTGTGGAGAAAAGAGAATTGTTGATGCCTTCTGGGTGTGTCTTTTGGTTCAGCCACCATCTTGTTCACACTTAACTGTGGGCAGTGTTCTTGAAAATTTAAAAAGGAAGATGTGTTAGTCTAGGGACAAGTTTCCAGCCACAAAATTGAGGTTTTTTTTTTTCAATGTTTTAGAAAGATTTGTTTATTTGCAAGGTGGAGATATAAAGAGGAAGAGGCAGAGAATGAGAGAGAGGTCTTTCATCTGCTTGGTTCACTCCCCAAATGGCCAGAACGGTCAGAGCTGAGCTGATCTGAAGCCAGGAGCCTGGAGCAAGGGTGCAGGGGCCCAAGGACTTGGGCCATCTTCTCCAGCTTTCCCAGAGAGCTGGATCAGAAGTGGAGCAGCTGGGACTCAAACCAGCACCCACGTGGGATGCCAGCACTGCAGGCAGCCACTTTACCTACTAAGCCACAGTGTCAGCCCCTAATTTTTTTTTTTTAATTTTGAAATTCTGAAAATGGCTTAATAAAAGATAGATGATCTATGACAAGAGGAAACATTGGTAATGTGTTGATTTTCCTGATATTTCTGATTATAAAAGTTATAGTCAGAGCCGGAAGTCTTCAAGGGCTGTCGTGTGTTGTCTTTGCTTTCTTAGCACACCGATTTTACTAATGTCCTTCATTCCAGAGCAGTTTGCGTCAGGGCCGTGTGTGTGTGTGTGTGTGTGTGTGATGACAGTGTTATTTGTGTCAGGGGCCATTCCAAGGGAAGTCTCCTGGAACCAGCAGCTCCTGCCAGCCTGACACTTGTCCTGGGCCCAGCCCAGGTCAGGAGGTTCCCTCCCTCCCACTCCAGTGGGGATACCTGACAGGGCAGCCATTCTCAACTTCTAGGAGGATCTGCAGCCCCTGTTTGGGGACCTCAGGTCAATACCCGCCTCACCTTGCTCACTCATGGGCGTGGGTCCTACACTGCATGCTTGAGTCTACATTGCATCCTTTCTACCCAGAAACCCCTGAGTGAGTGTAGGGAGCTGAGCAGGGGCCTGGCAGTGTGGGGTGTCCAGAGCTCCCTATATGGCCAGCATGGGGCATGGTGGCCATGAGCAGGCTGTTTGTAGGTTTTGACGACAGTAGAGAGAATTGGTGGGGGGACCTTAACTCATAACACAGGCCAGGCCCTGTTCGGTTTCCCCCATTTTTTTTTTTAAGATTTATGTATGTATTTGAAAGTCAGAGTTAAATAGAGAGTTGAAGCAGAGAGAGAGAGAGAGAGAGAGAGAGAGGTGTCTTCCATCTGCTGGTTCACTCTCCAAATGGCCGCAGTAGCCAGAGCTGTGCCGATCCAAAGCCAGGAGCCAGGAGCTTCCTCTGGGCCTTCCCATGCTGGTGTGGGGGCCCAAGGACTTGGGCCATCTTCTACTGCTTTCTGAGGCCACAGCAGAGAGCCGGATCAGAAGTGGAGTGGCCAGGTCTCGAACCAGCCCCCATATGGGATGCTGGCACTGCTCTACCTGCTACGCCACAGTGCCCCGTCCATGGTTATCTGCATATTGAAAGTGACTTCTTTCCTCCCCAGGCAGGGCTCATCTACATGTTGTTCTTCAGACACGGCCAGGCTCTGGCTCTCTCTTGGTCTCAGTCCTCCCTCTGGCTCCATCAGCCAATTCCTGAGCAGCAGGTGACCTCAAAGATGTGAAATGGCGATCTGACCGCCTCCGGGAGCGCACATTCCTAACCCACAGGGCCAGTGGAAAGACCCCCCCAAGAGCCCCATCTGTCTACCAGGTCTGAGTCCTGGCTGGTGAGGCTCAAGAGAGCAAACTGCGGTGCACCCTGGCTCACAAGAGCTGTCACCCCTTATTTCGGGGTGGGTTCAGGTAGGGGTTGTGGTGGGGTTGGAGAGACTCCTTATGCCTGCTCCTTCTACAGGTTCAGGGCCTCCCTGAGCCTTGACTTCCTTATTGGAAGGTTTGAGGCCTCTCAGCCTTCCCTTCTTATCACATGATGCATGTTGCTAAACACGGAGGTGTTGCCGTGGTGAGCACTTGTCGTCAAGCTGCCTAGACTTGTGCTCCACTGAAAGTCAACAATGAGGTTCACATTGTTGAGGTGGGAGCCAGAGCTTCTGTGTGTCCTGGGCCTCTGCCGCTGTCCTGCTGCTGACTGCTTGCTGGGGCCCTCCAGACCCCCCCTCCTCCACCTTTGGTCCAATTCACTTAATGGCCTGGCCTGGAGAAATGGCCCAGCCTGAAAAGGCACTTGCGCTCAGCCAGCAGCTGGGCTGGGGCCAGCTGAGTGGGAGTCATGCGCACTTTTGTATTTATCCATTTTCTTGCTTTCTTGTTGGGCTAAACAAGCTTTACGGGGACATCTAAAGGAAAAAAGTGTTGTTCCCACTGTGTAGTTATAAACACTGGCACTTCTCAGGGCTGAGATTACTTAAGGGTGATTGGCTGCTGTAGGTTGGGGTGGGGCGGAGGGGAGCGTCTTTTGGACTTGGAGCCCAGTGAGCTGCGACACCCCCTATAGCTGCCCCTCTCACCAGCACCCTCAATATGTCTTCAGTAAGGAGGGAACCAGTGCTGCCCTAGCCGATAGCACCCACGGATTCCCGGCACCCTGGCCTGCGGGTTTCCTGTTCTCCCTCCGCCTTCCAGCTCCACCTCTGCACTCTTCCTGATGCTCCCTTGGCCTTGCAGCTCTTGGTTTCTGAAATCAGCAGCCCCCATTCGCTGCCTCGTGACAGCCTGTCTTGTCCTTCCACAGAGGCTGTGGACATTCATGATGACAAGCAGAGGAGTGCACCTCCTGCTCAGGCTCCTGTTCCTCCTGGCTGTCTTCTACAGTTCAGGTGAGTGGCCCTGACCCGGGGCACATGGGCTGCCTCCTTGTCCTAGGCCTCGGGAACACTGAGCGGCTCCTGTTTCTGCCCCACTCCCTCTTGTGGACCCAGCTCTGGGTCTTTTGCCCTCCAAGGTCATGTGACAACTCCTTCCTGCTTTATGGTCTTGCCATCCCAAATGATAGCCCATCTAGAGTTCCAGGGCTGCATTTGGCAGGGAGTGGGGGGCGGTCAGCAGGTCAGGTTTCACCGGTCTCACCAGGAGCTGCTTGGAGGTAGCAGTGGCCGCCATCCTAGGAGTGCTACCCAGGCCCACCACGCTCAGAGCCTGCTGCGCTCAAGCCTTTCAGCCCCGTGGTGATGATGATAACTACAGTGACAACAGTGGCAGCCGAGGCTCATGGCACTTGTGCCAGCCACTCCTCTAAGCATTTTATGTGCATTGGCTTGTTTAATCCTCATGTCAACTCAACAGTGTACAAGGTTGAGGTCCAATGAAATTAAATAATTCATCGAGTAATACCCAGAAGTGGGATCCCAAAATATGGACCCAGGCAGTCCGGCACCAGGAGCCCTGCTCTTCACTCCTGGTCCAGGCCAGCCCTCCCTGGGCCGTCCTTCCCCTGGCTCTTGGAGGAAGCTGTCCAGAGTCTCAGCCTCTGTAATGAAAATAACTGGCTGCTTGCTTTGCTTCTGAGACTCAAAAGTGGTTTTCCGTCTGTGCTATTTCGGTACAGCAACCTGGTCACTATTTGGGGGGAGGTAGGGCGCAGCAGGAAGGAAGTAGCAATTAAAATGAGCAATAGAAACCAAAGGTATCTGCGGGGTTGGAATATGTTTGTAGCTGCCATGGGTCGACTGCTTATGATGTACCAGGGATTGTGCCAAAGCCGGCCTCAAATCCTCCTTCCAGCCGCCCGGGAGCTACTGGTGCCCATTTTATAGTGGGGGACACTGAAGCCAAGAAGTTGCTTGTCCAAGGACACACCAGAATACTACCCCCTCCCCCAGGAAAGGAAATCATGCATCTGCAGCTTCCCTGCCTCCACTAATCCTAGCCAGGGTGGGTGGGAGAGGGGCTCATCCGGGTCCCAACATGACACTCTGCTCTCAGGTCTACCAGTGTCTTCACGCAATAACCATAGCCCGGTCGCATCTTGCGTTTGATTCTGGAGCAAGCTGAGGTCTGCCACCATCTGTGTCAGGTCTCGGGGTGCATTTAAGCCCCTCCTCAGAGAATGGGGTGTGCAGCACACACACATATACATGAAGGTGAGCAGCTTCCTTTGCTGCTGCCCCAAGATTCTAAAGAAACTTGGGGGGACTCTCTTAGAGCAAGGTCAAATCCCCTCCCTGCCGGTTGAGTGGCCAGAACATCAGACAGTTGTCTGTCGACTCGTTGCTCATCTTTGGCCTCGGTTCCCTGCCAGTCTGTGCAGTTACCTTCTCTTCCTCACCGAGGACAATTAGGAGAACGTCGTGGTTGAACCAAGCTTGGATCTTAGATAGCCTGGGTTTGCGTCTCAGCTCCGTCTCAGACTGCGCTGCTGAGTGACTTTGCAGAAGTCAGTTGACATCCTCATCTTACTTTTCTCCTGCAGCGAGAGGAGGAAGGTGAGTGAGCCTGCCTCTTCGAACCGCTCCCTGTGCAGCGAGTCTGTGTGGCGTATGCAGTGCCACAGATACTTGAACGTGGAATGGGCATATTAACTGCGATTATTTCTGCCCCACGAAGATCCAAATGTGAGCTTGAGCCCTCGGTCTGTAGGTTTGTCAAGAAGCCAAATGAGCTCTGGCTCCAAGCAGGAGAAAATTTGCTCCTGTGGAAGACCGTTTAAAATGGGCCGGCTGGTACGGCTCTGTCTCTCTCAGCGTTCTTTCCTCCTTCTATGTGTGTACACAGATCTGGCGCACATGGGGAGGGGGCTGATAGAGAAGTCATCACCATGGCCCCTCTCACACGGCCAGGACAAGCAGGGAGATCTTGGGGGGCCCTGCTCGCAGGCAGGGGTCAGCTCCAGCTCTGCTGCTTTGTAGCTGGGTGTCCTGGTTGAGTCATTTCATTCCACCTTCTCATCTGCAAACTAAGCAGACTTGGGAGGAGTGGTGATTTTTACAATTTATGCATTTTCATTTTTATTTGATTTTTTAAAAAATTTTATTTATTTGAAAGAATCACAGAGAGAGAGAGAGAGAGAGAGAGAGAATCGATCTTCTACCTGTTGGTTTACTTCCCAGATGGCCACAACAGGCAGGGCTAGGCCAGGCTGAAGCCAGGAGCCAGGAACTCCATCCCAGTCTCCCATAAGCACTTGGGCCATCTTCTGCTGCTTTCTCAGGTGCATTAGCAGGGGACTGGATGGGAAGTGGAACAGCTGGGACTCAACCACCACCCTTATGGGATGCCTGTGCTATGGGCAGTGGCTTAACCCCTACACCACAATGCTAGGCCCATCATTTTTATTTGAAAGGCAGAGAGACAAAGACAAAGAGAGATCTTTCACATGCAGTTCACTCCCTAACAGTCAATGCTGGGCCAGACCAAAACCAGGAAGCCTGAACCTCCGTCTGTGTTTCCCTCTATGGGTGACAGGGACCCAAGTACTTTGAACCATCAAGTGCTGCCTTGCAGGGTATGAATTACTAGGAAGCTAGATCAGGAAGGAGCCTGGACTTGAACCAGGCACTCTGATATGGGATGTGGTCCTTCCAAGTAGCGACTTAACCGCCATGCCACATATGCCTGTCTTGGGAGTGTTTTGGACTGATGTTTCAAGGGCTTAGTCTGGAAGCTTATAAAGCCTCTGCCGGATGGGATTTCATACCTGTGGAGGCAGGCTTGGCTGTTTAAGATGCTTTAGAGGGGGTGAGTGTTGTGGCCCAGTGGGATAAACTGCTGCTTGGGACGCCCATGTTGGCGTTCCTGGTTTGAGTCCCTTCTCCTTTTCTGGTCTTGCTTCCTGGTGATGTGCCTGGGAGGCCGCAGGTGATGCCCCAGGGACTTGGGTCCCTGCCACCCACTCAGGAGACTCATGGAGTTCTGGCTCCTGGCCGTGGCCTGGCCGTGGCCTGGCCGTGGCCTGGCTGAGACTGGCTTCTAGGGAGTGAACCAGCAAATGAAAGACACCTCTCTCTGTCTCTCCCCCTTCCTCTCTGTCACTGTCTTTCAAATAAATAAATCAGTCAGTCTTTTCTTCCCCTTATAGAGGTTATGAAGAGCTCGACTCTTACCTGTGCTTAGGAGGTGGGGCTCTGCTTCCTATGGGATTTCTGGAAAGCCCTGGTTGCCAGGTGGTAAGCCTGGGCTTCGTCCTCAGAACCAGAAGTCAGCTGTCGAGCTCCCCAACCTGCGCTTGGTTTAACCATGGTGTTCTCGTGTGAGGTTTTATAAGTTTCATCTTTTAAGATGTCTTTTCACACAGGCAGGTTCTGCCAAATACTGACGAGGTGGCGGGAGCCGTGCGGCACCGTCGCAGGAAGGCAAATCCTCACGAATCTGCGAGACTTCCCTCTGACTCTTGTGTCCTCAGCTGTTCCCCATCACAAGTGTTGATTATAGCATCCTTTTCTTGGCACTGTTGGAAGGACAGGCAGTAGCAACACCTGACATTAGCCAGCAAAGATGAGTCCTGAGAACGTGGTGGGGCCCAGTGGCCGTCTTCTGATTAGGGAGCGCCTGCTGTTCATTGCCCGGCCTGGTCAGTGTTGCTGCTACTGGCTGCTCCATCCTGTGGGTTTAAAGGATTCAGCTGCTGTTTTGCCCTTGACTGTGTGTACTCCTGGCTCTGAGTCAGTCCTTTAGCAGGGCACAGTTCAGCAACAATATCCAATCCTAGAATCCTCAAACTTTTTCTTTTAGTTTTTTTTTTTTAATTATTTTTTATTTATTTGAATGGCAGAGAGACAGATCTTCCATCCACTGCTGCACTCTCCAAATGCCCACAGCAGCTAAGGCTGGGCCAGGCCAAAGTCAGGAGCTCTCTCCGGGTTTCCCATGTGGGTAGCAAGGACCCAAGTACTTGAGCCATCATCTGCTGCCTTCCAGGGTGCACATTAGCAGGAAGTTGGATTAGAGGTGGAGGCAGGGCTCAAACTCAGGCCTGCGGATAGGACAGCAGTTGTCCCAAGTGGTGGCTTAACCCTCTGTACCACAACACCCACCCCCATAGGACATTTTTCTCTAAAGGGCTAGAGAACAGTTTGGGTCTGGCAGGCCAAGGTACAAAATCAAATTTATTATATAGGCTCTTAAAAATAGCAAGAGAGAAAGCAAATTCCTGTGAGTTTTTAATTGACAAAATTCACAATGTAATAGTTGAGTACAAACATATAATAGACATTCCACTATTCAGAAGAATAGAATTCTTTCTGAGGGGCTAATATTTTTCTTAGTTGGGGTTCAAAATGAGTGCCCCTGCCAAATCAATTGCAGATGTTCATCTTTTATAAGACTGATGCGCCGCCTACTGTGCTAAAGGAGGCAGGTCAGATGCGTATCCTTTAATACAGATCTATAATGAGATTTTCCACATTTCATCACTGAAAATGCCTTTTCACACAAGTAACAACTGCCAGGTACTGATTGTTAATCCGGGAGGAGGTGAGTTCATTGAGCGTATTCATTGCTCGGAAGGCCCTTACAGAATTCTGTTAGTTCATACTCCTGATATTTTCCTTTGAATAAATGCATCAACACATGGCAAGTTAATCATTTTCCAGTTGAAGGTGAGGAGGCAGTGTCGATGGATTTTGGAATGGGGATATTCCCTTTGCATCTGTATCATCAAGGTCCAAAAACTGTTGCTAGGGCTGTAGTTGAGGCTGGGAAAGATCTAACCAGCCCCAGCGGGTGTGGGAATGGAAGCACACCGTGAGCTGCTGGCCGTGGCCTCTTAGTGGAGATGGTGGGCTGTGTCCTGCTGCCTGGGGGGCAAGTCAGTGCTGGTTGCACAGGTCCTGACAGCCTTTCTTCTTGATTGTAGATTCCAGTCTGATGTGTTACCACTGTCTCCTCCCAAGTCCCAACTGTTCTATGGTCACCAACTGTACACCTAACCACGATGCATGTCTCACTGCTGTAAGCGGTAAGCATCTCCCCTTCCCTGTGTTCCAAGTGCAAGGGAACGGTGAGAGCTTGGGGGCGAAAACTGTGCCACTCTCATTCTCATTAGACTTGTATTGAGCAAGTAACAGGCTGTAGTTTATTAGTACCCGTTAGGTATTTGGTGAGTAAGCAGTTTTCATGCTTTTTTAACTTAATGCTTCTCAACTACCTGTTATTCCTACTTGATTGATGAGATAACAGCGGCCTAGATTAAGCAATGTGCTAACATCAAATAACCCACCCAGGATCTGAACTGGGAAATCTGATTCCAAAGCTGTGCTTTGTAACAGCGACACTGCTGCCTACTAAACACCTTCTGTGTGCCAGCGCCGGAACTGGGGATTAGGGATGCAAACGTGAAGAAAGGACATGAAAGACACTTATGACAAAGGCCTGTGTGCCAGTCTCAGATGGATTCTAGCTCTCTCTTGCTCCATGGAGCTGCTTCTAGTGCACCTAGAGTCCTGAGGGGACTCTAGCTGAGCTCACAGGACAAATAGGACACAGGAGGACTAAGAGGGGCACAGTGTTCCCAGGAGAGACAGCAGCAGGTACCAAGGCTCAGTGGTCTCAGAGCACAGGGTGGGAAGGGGGAGTGCTAATGCACACTGTTTTGTCAAAGCCGCACTTTCCAAATTGGCTGGACTCAGGAATCTTCATCTCCATAAACCTTATTAGAATAGAATTTAGGAACTGGTAGAGGAAAGAAACCAGCGAAGATGTACCCTCTCTTCTGCTGGGTATGGTTCTGGAAGGAATCCATGTGTGTCAGCTGTAAAGGATTGTGATGAGGGTTGGCAATTGCAGGCAAGTTAAGCGTACAAATGAAAGCCCCAGACTTCATGTCTCTCAGGTCAAAACACTCTCCAAGGCCGGCGCCGGGCTCACTAGGCTAATCCTCCGCCTTGCGGCGCCAGCACACCGGGTTCTAGTCCCGGTCGGGGCACCGGATTCTGTCCTGGTTGCCCCTCTTCCAGGCCAGCTCTCTGCTGTGGCCCGGGAGTGCAGTGGAGGATGGCCCAAGTGCTTGGTCCCTGCACCCCATGGGAGACCAGGATAAGCACCTGGCTCCTGCCATCGGATCAGCGCCGTGCGCCGGCCGCAGCGCGCCGGCCTCGGCGGCCATTGGAGGGTGAACCAACGGCAAAAGGAAGACCTTTCTCTCTGTCTCTCTCTCTCACTGTCCACTCTGCCTGTCAAAAAAAAAAAAAAAAAAAGAAACAGACACAGAGAGAGAAGTCTTCTACCAACTGGTTCACTCCCCAAATGGCTGCAACAGCTGGGGCTGGGCCAGGCTGAAGCCTGTCAAAAAAAAGAAAACACTCTCCAAGGTTATTTCCCCCCTCGTATCATCTACCGCAAACTCTTCCCAGACATCAAGGACTGGGGAGACCCACAAGTTCAGAAAAACCTGCAGGACACAAGGTAGATTTTCCCAGAAAGGGCAAGTTCCTTGGTAAAGGAAGACGAAGTAGAGTTAAGCTGTGTACAAAACAGGAGTATCTGAGAATTTTGATATGAGTTCCTGGGGAGATTTGAAGCCCTGTGTTCAAAGTCCTTGGTGCTGTGGGGACCGTGTTCTTCACGGCTGCCCTGGAAAGCACAGCAGTGCCCTGGGGAGTACAGAGCACTCACTCGGCAGGTGTTTGGCCACAGTCATGCAGCACAGGGGACCTGATTCTTCATCTTGGCCGTCTCTTTCTCCGGGCCCTCTCATGACAGAGAGTACAACTTCCAAATGAGAGAATAAGGGGCTGAGTACTAGAGTAGCGTTTATGAGCTCTGACCTCTGTCCTGCCACTGGCTAGTTCTGGCCATCTAGTGTTTTTTGTTTTTGTTTTTGTTTTTGTTTTGTTAATTATGAAATATGTATGTTGGATAGTGAAGCTGGGAGAAAAAGGAAGTCGATCCGAGCCGAGATCTTTTATTTTCAGCTCTGGAATCTCGTAGTGTCGTATCTGAATTGTTAACTTCTGAGAGTAGTAAAACTACCATGAGACACACCTACTAAAATGGCCAAAATCCAAACACATTGACAGCACCTGCGGCTGGAGAGAACGTGGCGCAGCAGGAACTCTCGCTCGTTAGTGGTGGGGATGCAGAATGGTTCAGCCACTCTGCATGGCAGTCTGCTGTAGAGCATAGAATTAAAAGAAAAAAAAGGTTATGTGGGTCTCGAGCGTTTCTCCTCTTCTCACTGACCTAAGTCCCAGGGCTTCAGCCACACGTGTTGTACCAACGGTTCTTGAAATACACTTGGCCGCTTGTATCTGTAGATTTGCATCTGCTATTCCACCAGCTACAGCTACAGCTAGAAAACATTTTTCAAAACATCGCATCTGTACTGAAGGTGTACAAATTTTTCCCTTGTTATTATTTCCTAAACAATGCAGTCTGGCAATTATTTATGTAGAATTTGCATTTTAGTAGATATAGTAAGTAATCTAGAGATGATTTAAGGTATGTGGGAGATGGTCGGCGCCATGGCTCAATAGGCTAATCCTCTGCCTTGTGGCGCCGGCACACCGGGTTCTAGTCCTGGTCGGGGCGCCGGATTCTGTCCCGGTTGCCCCTCTTCCAGGCCAGCTCTCTGCTGTGGCCCGGGAGTGCAGTGGAGGATGGCCCAAGTGCTTGGGCCCTGCACCCCATGGGAGACCAGGAGAAGCACCTGGCTCCTGGTTTCGGATCGGTGCCGCGGCGGCCATTGGAGGGTGAACCAACAGCAAAAAGGAAGACCTTTCTCTCTGTCTCTCTCTCTCTCTCACTGTCCACTCTGCCTGTCAAAAAAAAAAAAAAAAAATGTGGGAGAATGTGTGCAGATACTATGCAAATACTGGGCTTTTTTTAAGATTTTTTTTTTTTTTTTTTAGCAGAGTGATAAGGCTTTGTTGAGGATAGGGCATCCATCAAAATGGAAGGGACAGAGAGGGTGCCCATAGAAAGTGCCCAGTCAATCCGACTAGGGGAGAGTGAGGTTGAGTGGAGAGAATACCCCTGGGCAGGCCAGGCGGGTGGCTCAGCAGAGAGGCAGAGTGCTGAGCACACAGTCTGTTTGGACTCCCTAGGTTTTTTTTTTTTTTTATTTGACAGGCAGAATTGGACAGTGAGAGAGACAGAGAGAAAGGTCTTCCTTCTGTTGGTTCACCCCCCAAATGGCCGCTATGGCCAGCGCACTGTGCTAATCCGAAGCCAGGAGCCAGGTGCTTCCTGCTGGTCTCCCATGCAGGTACAGGGGCCCAAGCACCAGAGCCATCCTCCACTGCCTTCCAGGGCCACAACAGAGTGAGCAATGGTGCTGGCCCCCTTCCTAGGTTTTTAAGGGAGTCGGTTTACCCACCTTCCCCTCTCCTCTAGGACAAAAGAAGGAGAGTCCTGGAGGAAGGGTTTGTTGGGTGAAAATTAGCAAATTCCTCTCCAGATTTGCTGGCCCTGGGCCCAGTAGAGGGTCTTCCCTTAAGGCGTCTGTGAGGGTTTTATTGCCCCATGTTATCAGGTAACCCATTTGGTCCTGAGGAGAGAGGATTCTCCTGGGAGCTTTCCTTGGGGGAAGGGCTGGGACCACCTGGGAGGTTATCAGGTTCTGAGCAGGAATTTGGAGTGCAACATGCTGGGCTTTCAGGCCTGTCTCACAAACACACAGGCTAAATTTCTAACTTCCTAACGTTTCTCCCCTCAAGAGAGAAGTACCCAGAATCTTATGGTGATAAATGGCCAGAGGTCTGTCTTTTGTAGCTACTTCAGAAGCTGACATAGAGATGGATATGGGTATTTTTCTCTTGCTATTTGTCCTATGGTGTTTGAGAGTGGGCTCAGGAAGCGTTGTCCTGTTTGGTCCAAAGGGTGGGTCACTGTGTCTGATGAGGTGGGCTGGAAGCCGTGTCCTAGAAGCACCTGGAGCCAGATGGCTTGTCTTCTGTTAGAGACAGAACAAACAAGGATGTTAAGGCACAGTAGTCTGCAGAGAAGCAGAGAGAATGTGGACGTTATGTCACCAAGGAGAAGTGTGATGTTAGGCCAGATATTTTAGCCTTGTCTGACCAGGCCCTGGAGTTGTCTGGTCTTGCCCAGGAAACCATGAACATGATTTTGTACCCATTTAGTTTGACCCTAGTTTGGGGCACTTTCTTGGGCAGCAGGAAGCAGGTCTAGGGCCTGCCTGTTGGAAGGACTATTAGCAACCCGTTTGTGAGAGCCCTAGTCCTGGCAGCTTTTCAGTGGATCAAAGCTGTGCTTTGTTTTTCTCAAAGGAAGGGGCTCTGCTTTGGCTCTCTGTTGAGCCTGGTTTAGAAACTGTGCTATTTCTCTGTATCTAGGCATCCTTAGCCTGTTAAGGAAATGCTGGGACTGCCTGAAGTTTGCAGAAGTAGGAATTTGCTCCATGGCCCATATCCTCTCTGGGGCTGGTTTTCTCTCCCCAGGGGTGAGGATTAGGGCTAAATAATTAACTCTCTAGTGGGCTGGCTATGCTTTTTTTTTTCCCCCTCTGGATACCTAGTAGCTAGTTTTTCTGGGAAGTTAAGCTAATATACAAGACCAAAGTCTCAATTTGGGAAAGGAAACAGACTAATAAATCATTTACATTTAACCATCTACATTTTGGATTATTTTGCACCCCCTTCAAGAGATAGGCCCTTTAAGTCCTTGGTGAGGACCCGTCTAAATAGGTGTAGGATTGTCTAAGTTAGCTGTTACTCAGAGCCCTGTTTTTTAGGAACTGTCAGGAAGGGCTTTTTAAGCTTAATAACATTTGGATAGGCTTTAAGGCCTGGCTGGGTGTGTGTGGCCCAGACCTATCCATGGGTGCTGGAAGAGAATTGCAGAAGAGATGTGCACCTCCTTAAGGAGGGCACCCTGTTGACTCGCATTACATGGCTGGACTAGGAGGAGAGCTGAATAGGGGGCTGATAGAAATAGGCAACTTACGTTTCACTGACCCTAGGCCATCCCCTCAATAGCAGTGGCTAGAGCTGGAAGCTGGGC